CCCCAAAACCCCAAAACCCCAAAACCCCAAAACCCCAAAACCCCTGACAAGGGATTATATTTGAATAATATAAATATTTTACCTAAAAATGGGAAACTCAGTGCCAACCGAACTCAAATCTCTCAACTGTAAGTATTGTATTTAGTTATTTGGTCCTTGGGAACTGGATTTGCATGATTATCACTAATAAAGGGAGTAATATTTAAAGTGGACTTGGGATATTATCACAGAGGTGAACTCTAAGCAAGAATTTTTCTTAGCGAGATCTTCTAACCACTCACTTTAGTTTCTGAAGATGAACTGAAAAAGCTATACAAAAACTTCTCAAAAATTGATAAAGATAAGAGTGGAACCTTAGAGCCAGAAGAATTTTTCGACATCCCAGAATTGGCCCAGAATCCGCTAGTAAAAAGAGTTATTGCAGTCCTGGATAAAAATACTGATGGAAAAATTTCCTTCCTAGAGTTCGTGCAAGGATTGTCATCTCTCTCAGCTTCAGCTTCAAGCGAGGAGAAGCTTAGGTTTGCTTTCCAAATCTACGATGTTAACAATGACGGATTTATTTCAAATGGAGAATTATTCAGCGTACTCAAAATGATGGTTGGAAACAATCTCAACGACACTCAACTCCAGCAACTAGTGGATAGAACCATCATTAAAGCAGATGAAGACATGGACGGAAAGATCTCATTTGAAGAATTTTGTAAAATGGTTCAGGATCTAGATGTTATCGAGAGACTCGTTATTAGCACTTAGGTAAACCTGAGCAAAACCGAATGTTCTTTCCAAATAATAGAAATTTCGGAAAAGCCTTGTTTCATCACAAAACCAAATTTCGCTCTAAATTAGTACATTGGTTGGTAGATTAAGATTCTCAGCTTTTTCATAGACAATATACAATTCAAGAGCACTTAGATAGCATTGATGAGTTATCCAAATCTATTATCCACTTTAAATGCTAACATTAGCTAGATATTCAATTTTCTTTAACAAAAATGGGGTTTTGGGGTTTTGGGGTTTTGGGGTTTTGGGGTTTTGGGG